ATTTGCAGCTAATTGTAACAAATATGGCAAGAACTCTACATTCAGTATCTTCACTTCAACTCCCATTTATAACACAAGCTACTACAATCTGAATTTTACCACTCCCCTGAAACTGCCCATGTTACGGTCACCATGACTACATAACTGCCAAATCTAATAGTCCTTTCAGTACATGCTTTGCATGTCACTACTGCCAGACACAGCTGATTAATCTTGAAACTTTAAAATTCTACAATTCTGGTAGCACCAGTCTTTTCCGGTTATCATTTCTAGTTGACTCTTTAGTCTCCTTTATGCACTGTTCTTTCTCTACCCATTTTGTAAGTGTTGATGTTCACCAAGACTCTAACACTCATCCCCCATCTCACTTTTCACACAATTCCTAAATATATTCAAATGGTGTAATACGTGATATCTTCTGATATCTCTAACTCCATTAGATTAATAACTGAAAATGACTACATATTTTACAGATCTGCCCAAAATAAGCTGTAAAACTATAACTCATGATTAGATAAGTCCAAATTGTCCCATTAATAATCTTTTATGGATTTCCCATCAGCTAGCCCTTGTTAACAGATATGGGGCAAAAGGGATTATATATGTTCAAAGTAAATTTACGAGGAAAACTGAAAAAAAAACAAAGCTACTGATCTTATTTTTCTGGACACTGAGAAGAGACTCCTTTTATCTTTCACAATGGAATTATCTGCTAACCCTTTAGACTGGGATTCTTTCCCTGCCTTCTCATCTGGGCATCTCTAGAAGGTTAAGTAACACAGTTGGCTGGGCAGTAACAGAGTAAGTAGAAAGAGGAGGATGGAAAAGAAGGGTGAGAGATAGAGAAAAAAGGGAGAGAGAAGGAAAGTTCCCAAATAATAAAAAATATTCTCCTACTTTAAAACATTTCTGATATGAAGTCATATCTTGTTACACAAAACCCATGTTTTGTTATTAAACCTAAAGAGTATGCACATTTCTTGAATGTCTGCTGGATAGTCTAAGAGCATAAAACAAAAGTCAGGTGTAGGAGGAGGGAAAATATCCATGTGAAACAACACAGTCAAAATTATCAACAAAGCACCATCAAAATAATATACGCTTGGGGGTTGTATATTTGTGTGCTGTGAGCACACACAAAAGTAATCAGAACATTTGAAAATATGTGAAGCTCTCTGGAATGTTACCCAAGAGCAGAGCAGGTTTGCCCATGAGTCAATAATACCAAGTTAATTCAGAATATGGACTAGCAAGTTGGTATTTGTGTTAACTTAGGTTACGCATACTTGATGCCAGAAAAGCTCAAAGGTCCAAGCTGTTATTGGGGGCAATCAATAACTTGCTAAAAATGACATGCAAAGATTAAAGTGTACAGATTTCAATTCTGAAGTAATAAAATATGTACTGAAGCTGAGGCAAATTAGAAAACGAGTACCTTTCTAACAAAGAATCTCCACGATCTGAATAATTTCCAAATGATATTCTATTTTATTATTTTTCACTTTTTCAAGTTCGACATAAAAGTTAGAAACCAAAAATTTTTTGTTTGATTTTAGTTGCCACCAATTTTGAGGACAAAGCCAAAATTTTTTCTTCTACTTATTATTTTGCCAAGGATATGGATGACAAAAGATATCAATATAGGGGAAGAGTATTTAATGAATTGCTATTATCTTTTTTAAACTACTTAGTCAAATACATATATAATAATTAATATATTACTAATAGGTACATAATCTTTTAGAGTTATCCTGAATATCACCTCTGACAAACATTAGGAAATCTTTTGGACTCTATCATAAGCAAATGATTTCATTTGCTATCAATCAGAATGAAATTACAGCACAAGAAATCATATGCTATTAACCTAACAGGTAGAACCCATTCATCAACAGTTTTGTCACCACTATTAGATTTTAGCTGCCAAAAATATGCAGTGTGAAAAATCATACTTTAATCTACTGAACAAAAGTATCTATATGCTAGTATTATACTCTTTATACTTTGAATATTATTCCATTAAGTATATTCTTCTTAAATGTACCTAATGGCATCAAATAACAGTTTCCTAAAATATAACTTCATACATTCAATTTGTTCAGCTAGAAAGTTTTCCTCCCCATTGGTCACTTAACTGATATGTACGAAAAAATTAAACTTAGGAAAACTTCATTTAATTCATTTCTCAGCTAAATTATAAACTGCCAGATACATTTCTCATTTAATCTTCACAATATAACCCTGTAAGATAGTAATTACTATTTTCAACACAGCAACAATAATAAAGAAAAGTTCAGTTTAGAAAAACAACCCATCCAAAATCCAACACTTGCAAGAGGAGGAATGAAATGTGACCCCAAATCTCTTCTTATTGTAAGTGTTTTCCTTGACAGCATCACTCCATCTATCTAAAACTATCCATCTAAGATATGACTAGGAAGATCCTATTTCAATAATCAATAGGGGGCTCTATTTTTCACTCAGAGACTAAAAGGAGGAAAACTCACCACACCCAATATGTTTTACGATAGCAAATATCAACTTTTAAAATTCATCTTTGAGCCAGGTTCGGTGGCTCAGCCTGTAATCCCGAGCCTTTGGGAGGCTGAGGTGAGTGGATTGCCTGAGCCTGCGGATTCGAGACTCGCCTGGGCAGCGAGACCTCGTCTCTACAATAAATCGAAAAACATCAGCCGGGTGTGGTAGCACATGCCTGTAATTCCGGCTACTTGGAAGGCTGAGGCGGAAGGATCACCAGAGCCCAGCAGGTGGAGGCTGCGGTGGCTGGGAGCGGCCACTGCACTCCAGTCTGGGCGACAGAGTGAGACTCCAACTCAAAAAAAAGAAAAAAGGAAAAAAAATTCATCTTTGGTTTAAATTTTTTCTAATTGCTAAAAATCTCTTCTGAAATACTGTTTCAGAATCATTATTAATATTTCTGCACTGTAAGAAAACAAAGTTCCATATTCAATCATGAATATAAAGTCTAAAATTAATTCACCATTATACCGCTCAGAAATCAGCAGCCTCCTATTTATATCAAATCAAATACCCAAATATATTACCTGTATTATTTTCATCTGGTTTGCTAAAGTTATGAAAACTTTTGAAATCTAAACAAGTATAAAGAATACAAATTCTATATTAAACAGATTGATAACAGCATTTTATTTTTAACATTTTTATCGTTGACATACTAATTGTTATTCCTTCAATCCCTATTTTATCTCTACATTTCTTCTTCATGAGCAAGTGGCTGTCAAGTCAACACACAAACACCTAAGTTTTATGACTGGCTCAGTTAATTTACCAGTGACCAGTTGTGAGAATCCATGTATGCATGCAGAGATATACTAAGAATGGTCAAGAAGATCACTGTGCTAATGCATTCCATGTTTAATTATATAGATTCATAAACATAAAAGCCAAAATTTAATCACTCACTTAATCTAAGTCCTCTGTAGGAGAATGCTAAGATTAAAAATACAAATCCATGGAAAACATTCATTATTTAGGCCAAATCAATATTTACAAAAATCTACTCCATTAAAGTACTTGTAAACAGAATCACATTTTTACACTTCTGTATAAATTTCTACCTTTCTAAAAGCATTATTATTCTCTTCAAGGCAATTTTTGATATACTTAATACCCAAGTTCTACGTAAGTTTCATAATTCCTTAAGGATTTTAAATGTATTAAAAGGGGAAAATATTTTAAAGAAGTTCATGGTGATTTGGCAAAGAAAAACCTCCAGTCCCTAATTTATCTGATTTTTTTTAAAGTATTCAAATTTTCATAAATTAAGTTTGGTTCATGCGGAGATTCCACAAGTACTTCATTAAAGATCTGAGGCAGATAGACTGGGGAGACTACTAATTAATTCCCTGGTAGAACTAAGTAAGTTAAGAAAGTAAAGTTTCCAAAAAAGGCAAGAGTTGCCAGTTGAAATTCTAGCAAACAGAAGAAAAGGCCTACCCTTAAAACTACTATATAAGGCTTCAAGATCTCTAATTTGCAACTAGTAGGTGGGACCTTTGGCTTATGGCAAGTACATTTACAGTAAATTAGGATAAAGATTGTATACCCTACTCATCAAAAATGAAATATTCACCATCAACCTACGATTCCAACTAAGTCTCTGCTATGTTAACAAGTAGGCAAAGTAAATATATTTTGAGGATTTCGTTTTCTGATTCTAGTTTATGTAGTGTCAAGGACCTCATTTAAACCCACACATACCATAAATGATGACTAAAACTTTAGGACTGTTTAGAGAAGCAATTCACAGTCTTGGTTTTACAACAAAGATGTATTAATCTACTTTAAGGGGCATCAGTCAATTCTATAAAAATTACCACTATTTTAATTCACTTCTCTGTTTATAAGTTACGCTATATAGCACTTTAAGTAAGATGAGGAAGGATAATGAAGACAACAAAATAGAATATCTCAATTTCAAACAGTGTAATAATAAGTGATTTGGACATGAGTATAATCAATCACCTTTCTAGTTCAATTTTCAATATTCAACTTAATTTTTTTTTTTTTTTTTTTTTTTTGAGTTGGAGTCTCACTCTGTCGCCCAGACTGGAGTGCAGTGGCACGCTCCTGGCCACCGCAGCCTCGACCGGCTGGACTCCGGCAATCCTTCCGCCTCAGCCTGCCAAGTAGCTGAAACTACAGGCATGCGCTACCATGCCCGGCTAATTTTTTGATTTATTGTAGAGATGAGGTCTCGCCAAGTTGCCCAGGGGGTCTCAAACCCTCGGGCTCAGGCAATCCACTCACCTCAGCCTCCCAAAGCGCGAGATTACAGGCTGAGCCACCGAGCCCAGCTCAACCTAAATTTAATAAGACAGTATTTAATCACACTGTGACCCAGAAATCTATTTTAGTACATCTAACTAGTAACATTATTAGGAAATAAATAAATAAGCTGCTCTCCCAACACACAAGGCAAAAGAAACCAAAAAGCCAAAAACATTCTAAAGACTCACCTTTTGTTGACTGGCTTTTCATCCTTTTCATAGGGTCGGACAAACCATTTCCCAATCCTAACGAAGTTCTTATCCATTAGGCACCTATAATAATTACATCAAGAATTACTTTTATCATTTAAATTTAAAATTAGTAAGTCACAGAATCAACAATCTCAGATGACATATACCACTGAAAATAAAAACATCACCAATTAAACTGTCAAAATGTTTTATCACTTAAAATTTTTACATTATACTTATGTAAAGAACTCTCCGACTTTGGGCATAGATGTGAAAAAAAATGAGCAGAATAAATTGACTGAAGTACTTCTGAAACTTTTCACACTTTAGAACTATTTCAAATGAAGTCACACTCCTGCATAATTTCAATTCTAGTGTCACTAAGAATACTAGGTCTGTATTTCTTAAGAGCATGTCAGAGTTATTTTCCCAAAGCAACTGACATTCATCTTGCAAGTTTTAATGCTAACTTTAATTTGCTTGGCATGGGATAGGCAATCCTTTAGCATGGATCCCAGTGACAAAAACATAACACAGCTTCATCTACTTAGATATTTTCTTTTTATAGGCACAATAAAGCACTTGATTATGGCTTTGCAAGGAAATGAGGAAACGCAGTCATATTTTCTATAACAAATATTTGCTTTACTCATACCTAAGTTGTGCCCCACTTCTGTTTCCATGCCATTTGTATATGTTGTTTCAATGTTAAATAATAGGGTACTCTTTTTGAATACATGTTAAATGGCAACTGAACCCAACTCATGTAATACCAGTAATGCACACAATTCAACTGAAGTGACAACAATACAGACAGTTATGACCAAGTTTACTAATATGCAGGCAAATGACAACTATATCTTAACTGCCATCTGGCCAACTATGAGATGCCATCAATTGTAAGGAGTATCCTTGTTTTTAAAAATATAAAAATGGGGGGGAAATGTGCAGTTTGGAAATGATAAAATATAGTAATCTCTAACATTATTCAATGAAATGACATGTATTTTGCAAGAAAGTCTGTCAGAACACTGGATGTAATACTTCTACACAAGGCTTTACCTATCAGTAAAAGAACTGTATAGCAATTGTTTATTCAGTATTCAGGCAATTCCGCACATGGCTTTTGTCTCTGTAATATCCACACCATCAAGGAAGATGAAAACAACCCAACTCATTATAGGCTAGATAGGTCAGTAAATAATAATATTTTTCAGTGGCCTCAGTGGAACTCCCTTTGGGCAGAATCAATTTGGATCACTGCTACACCAAAAAGTTACTGGCTTCAACTGGTTTTACATTGTAAATGAATTTCTACTATAAATTCCTTGTTCACAATGAAGAAAATCATTTTCAAAGTAATTCAATCTGTTTTCCTAAGTTTATAAGTTAAAAAAGTATGCTTTGTTTATAAGTTAAAAAAGCATGCTTTGGGGGGTTAAAACCCATATAACTCCCTTTAATTTAGAAGAGGAAATAGGGAACACCCTCCCCCCAAGGGAGAAAGCACTCAGTAGCAAAATTGAAAAAAGTATCTTCACAGTCTATTCATTAGCTGGGACACTTAATTATATTTTTTGGCTACACTACACATATAAATAGGTATTTCCACTAAAACCCTAGAGTTTGATAGCAAGTTCCTCCCTCCAATAACATTATCAGTAACTATACTAGAATCTCTACCACCACTACTGGGTCTGATTACCAGGTATAGTATCTCACTCAACTCTTGCAATAATGATAAAGCATGGGTGTTACAATGTCAATTTTTACAGAAGAAGCTGTGGCACGGTAAGACTATAACCCAGATAACCAACAACAGAGCTGTGATCAAACCCAGGTATCACTAATCACAGAGCCAGGACATTTGACTATTACCACACACTAACTCTCATGCTGTCTCATTTACTCAATTTTTTCCTTATTCCTTAAGCACAATGTACCTTGTAAATTATGGGTCTACTTAATGTGATAGTATTTCTTTACTCTCCAAAGCCATTACTAAATTGAAAGTATATCTTAAAATCAATAATGATGAGAATGAAAGCAATACAGTATGTAATAGGTTTAGAACGACATCAAATACTAAACATTGTCCTCCAGTGACACACATTCTCACTTAGGAAATGCTGTTTTAAAAAATATTCATTCTCTTATATATACCCTTACGGTCAGAATTCAAATGAATTATTTATTCAACAACAGAGAAACCATAAATTTACACAGTATAGAGAGAAAGACCCAAGGCTTAGAGAACATAATATGAAAGAAAAGTACATAAAAAATATGTGACTAATGAAGACGATGTGTTTGCCCTTCTCTGAAGTAAAAGTCACAAATTCTATTTTCTGACTTCATTACAGAAAAAATAAATGGGGTCTAGATGCTAAAGAAGCAATGCACAGCCAAGACTACTAAAAGACAAAAGCAAAAGGCAAAAGGCTAATGAAAGTGCTGAAAGTCTAACTCTCTGTACAAATATCCCCACAACAGATCCTATATCTTCATCAAGCAATGTCAGGAAAAAGTTATTATCGTTAATATACAAAACAGCCATAGAAACCACTAATCCTTCCATCTAAAGCCATGTTTCCAAATAAAAGTCATACATGACCTATGTGATTTTTCAATTGCTAATCAGTTTCAATGTGATCAGTGTTTTCCCATACAATGAAAGGAAAGCATGACAGCACAGAATTGCAGTGAATAGTGCTTTTACTCAATTTTGTAAGGTGCTGGGGTATATACACGCAGTCCCTCCCTCCAAGGTTAGGCAATATAGAAAGTCTCACCACCTGCTTATGGGAGGAAATAAGAAGAGTAGGATACATGTCTTTGCTAAGGAAGACAGCTACTAATTGATACACTAGAGTATGATAACTCAATTAAAACAAGAGGCACAAAGTCCTTGGACCGCAAACGTTTTTGGGACATGAATGTACAATTTTTAAAAAATTAATGAAAGTCTTTATAAATTCTTTCCTCAGAAAAATGTGTGGAAGAAAACACTGCACACAATTGCACAGGATGAGTGAAATATCCAAAGCACATCCGAGGCTACAAATTTCTGCACTAAATACTACCACTAATCATTACTAACTTGCTTTGGACCAGAATCCCTTCCCTGTCCCAATGTACCCCTTCTCCTCTAATTCAAATTCTATTCTTCCTTCTGGTCCCAGATAGAGTCTCACAGTACTCTAACATCTACAAAACAGTACTTTCACCACTGAGTTTTAATGATTCAGTTCTACAGCTCTCTTCCTCCATACAACTATGAGCTCGTTGGGGGGAAAAACAGTATCTGTCTTATTCACTGATAATATTCAACAAATATTTAAGTGTCCATTATATAATATACTTTGTGTACTTGCTCTGTTCTGATAGGTGCTCAATAAATATCTGACAAATGCATGCTGTATACCAAGGAGTATTTTCCTATTCTAAATTAATGTTGCTATTCTTTTTGTTTATAACCACTAATTATATGTAGCCTTAAACAGTTATCAGAATCGTCTTGTGTGTATATATTCTCACCACTGAGAACACAGCATCTACATATTTTACTTTGTTACAGCTCATCATATCCCACTGCAGATTAAAATCATAATAGATACTCAACAAGTAGGGAATCACATAGTTACTAAAAATGTTAGGACGGATGCAGTGGCCCATGCTCATAATCCCAGCAGTTTAGGAGGCAGAGGTGAGAGGCTTGCCTGAGCCCTGGGATTTGAGACCAGTCTGGGCAACTTGACAATATCTCGTCTCTACAATAAACCAAAAAATTAGGCAGGCATGGTGGTGCATACCTGCAGTTCCAGATACTCAGAAGGCTGAGACAAAAGGATTGCTTGAGCCCAGCAGGTCAAGGCTGGGATAGCCATGAGCATATGACTGCACTCCATCCTGGGTTTAGTAAGACCAGCACTACTGCCCAAATGCTTTAATTATATTTGAAGAACATAATTGAGCAAAACTTTTAAAGAGATATAATTTATTACAAATTATGTCAGAAATATAATTTCCCCTTCTTTACACTCTAGTAAAAATTTTTGTATTAATTTTGGGGGACAAAATTTGTACTTAACTTCACAAATAAACCTAAGAGACACAGTCCATCTGCCAAAAATTGTTTCAAATTGTTTCAAACATCATATTAAGTAGTGCTAAGACTACTTATCAGTTAGCCCTGGTTGTCTATTCAGTAATCCCAATCATTACTATTGAGATTTTCAAAATTACTTCCCTATTAAGATATGACACAGCCACACATGGTGGCTCATGCCTGTAATCCCAGCACTTTGGGAGGCAGAGGCGAGAGGACTGCCTGAGCTCAGAGGTTCGAGACCAGCCTGGGCAAATTGGCGTGACCTTGTCTCTACAATAAATTTAAAAATTAACCAGGCGTGGTGGCACATGCCTGTATTTCCAGCTTCTTGGAAGGCTGAGGTGGAAGGATTGCCTGAGTACAGTAAATAGAGGCTGCGGTGGCTATGAGAACGCCACTGCACTCCAGACTGGGCGACAGAGTGAGACTCTAACCCCCTCCAAAAAATAAAATGACATAATGCTGTAAAGTAGTACAATATTATCTTGCAAGATTATTTTATATGATGCCAGATTTATAAAACGTTCTTTAAGCAATGGTACTAGGAGATTATTTCTCTTCCCAACCCTCTAGCACCACCCCAAAAATCACTATTCCAAGAAAAAAGAGCTGCTGAAAATGAAATCAGGTTGCGTGTGTGTGTCTATGTGTATACCTAATGTTTCTGTCATGTCATATGGGTCTGAATAACTAACTACAAGTGCAACTTGATTCTGAAACTAGCAACCCCAAATTGTAATTCCAAAGCCATGGGCAGACCTGATATAATATTACAAATTCCACAGGAGCAACCATACCCTATCTCAGTAGGCCATTTCCTGAATTGAGACAGTTGAGAGGTATGAAAGGAAGCCCACTATTAGCTCAGGTTTCTTCTGTGACCCTCATATTATGCGGGTATGGCAGTTTTCATAGACTAAAAAGTTCAAGCATACTCAGTGTTTCTCTACCATATGTTCAACAAAACTGC